TTTATATAAGTAGATACTCATGACAGCTATTTTAGTGTATTATGTTTAAATTACTGTTTAGAATAAGTGATTATTGAATAAAATTTCATATTAAATACTTAGATTCCATCTATAACTTAGGATCTCATTTTAGTTTTTGGGGGAACATACCTTAATAAATAAATTGTTGAGTATTAGTTTTCTCAGTACTTCAAAATTCCTGTTTCACCAAAGATTTAGCAGTTTGTACATGCTTAAACTCTTTCTTAAATAACTACTGTGCCTTTTAGAAATTTTCACAGAAAAGTTACATTAACTGTACACACCCAGTTGATAACTTTTATTTTTACTTATTTATTTTTAATCTTTTTTAAAAATATATTTTTATTGATTTCAGAGAGAAAGGGAGAGGGAGATAGAGATAGAAACATCAGTGATAAGAGACAATCATTGATCGGCTGCCTCCTGCACGCCCCTTACTGGGGATCGAGCCCGCAACCCAAGCATGTGCCCTTGACTGGAATCGAACCTGGGACCCTCCAGTCCACAGGTCAGTGCTCTATCCACTGAGCCAAACCAGCTAGGGCCAGTTGATAACTTTGATAGTACTGAGAATTTCATACAGAAATGTCCCAGTTTGCCTTAAGAGGACATGTAGTCACTGGTGAATTAATAAATCTGCCTTGTAAATTTAGAAAGTCAGAAATAATATAAAATTTTAAAAGAAAGAAGCTTTTAATTGGATTAAACAACTTTTCATGAAGTTTATGAAAATACTTCATTTAAATTTTAGTATTAAGTCCATTGTAAAACTTTGGTTTATCATTTTGACCTATGATAATGTTATGTTAATATTGAATCTGGACTTAAAACACTTTTATAGGAAATACTAGAAAGGAATTACACTTCCTTTGTGGTATAGACCGAATAAATTTTTTTCAAGATTTAGACATGTGATACTAAATGTTGCTATTCCATGCCCTGTTTGGACTCAGCTCAGCTGCTTGGAGGGACTTGCTCCTTCTATAAAGGTGATGCTGCCATCTTCAGTGTGCGACTTTCAGTCTTCCTTGAAAGGAAGAGAGATCATAGAGGGTCATGTGAGAAGTCTCAGAAACCAGGCCTAGTATATGACTCCTGTCATATACTGTGTTATGGTTCTGAGAACCATTATTTTCTTGAGATTGCTTTACTTTCATCATGAGTACTAATGATACACTCTTTAAGAAAGACCGTATTTTCATTAAAAATAGTGAGTTTTTACTGCATTCTTTGAAGATAGTAAAGCTTCTTTGCCTTGTTGAGTATGTGACTGGACTTACTAACTAAATGACTAACTATAAAACTATGTCATTGTTCTTTCCTAATACTTACTTAAAATCACAAATATTAGGTGTCTGCTTCATCTTATTACTGAAGTGTTCAGGAGTTGGAAGCAGTAAAGAGAATTCTGAGTGGAAACATCTAGTGTCTCATAGTAGGTGAATTGTCCAAAGTATAGTTTTCATCTATTGGTTGCCATTTCGAAATTCTTTGCCAACTCCTTCAGTGTAGGATAAAGTCAGTAGACTAGCATTCCATGATTCTGCTGCAGATTGATCTTTACTTTTCCCAAACTAAATTTGAACAGTTGTTCAAAAAAATAATCATGTTTACTATGTACCTACTGGGCACTGTGCTAAGCTCTCGAAATATACTGCTAAATAAGATGTGATCCCTGTCCTCATAGACTTGCCTAATTGCTCCAGCCTAACTGATCTGCATGATTTAAACATAACGTGTATAGTTTTGCCTTTTTATCTTTGCTTATGTAATTCTTTTCCCCAGAGAATCCTTCCCCTTCAGCATATTCAAAACCATAAAATTATTTTCGTTGCTACTTCATAACTGTAATGTTGCTACTATTATGAATCATAATGTAAATATCTGATATGCAGGATGGTCTTAGGCGACCCCTGTGAAAGGGTCGTTCGACCGCCAAAGGGGTCGCGACCCACAGGTTGAGAACCGCTGCTCTAGACTTTCCTGTTCAAAGGGGGAAATGAGAAGCACAAAGGAGTCATTGGTCTGTAGTGATTTTGAAATGTGAATGGGCAAACCTTGGAGGTTTTGATTAAACCTCAAGTTCTAGGAATAATTCTTTAGGGTTCCAGGCTTTGCTCTCTGAGCTCTGGGTTCCTGCCTCTGAGTCCTTTTTTATGTTATGTGGCATGTGTTTGCAGCTGAGTAGTTTTCTTAGACTGCTTCCTGCCAGTAGAATTTTGTGGGTCCAATGGGCTCTTCATTTTTTACTGTTGCTGCTCCTGTTAGTCCACTTTGCAGTGTGTTTGCTGACGTATTTCTGTCAAAAATTTTGTCAGCTTCCTGTGAATCACATTGGGGTTTATTCCATTAGATAGATAAAAGCCATATCCAAGAATCTTTGAAAATATGGGCTTCTGCAGAGGTATTGAGGTACAATGCCCTCCAGCTTTCTAGAGGGCCTGTTGTTTGTTTGAGAGCATCTGTGATCTTTTACATTAATACTGTGAGGTACCACCCTCCATCTTTCTGGGGTCTTAACAGAAGGTTTTACAGTTACCCCCTTGGCTATATTTTTAGGCCATGTGTGTCAGTGTCCTGGAAGCCATTCTTAACTTTAGCATCTTTTGCCATGTTAAGAGACTGAGAATTTTCAAAAACAGTCATGTCCTGGTTCTTTTTTTTCTTTTAACAGTTCTTTAGTTTATCTCTCTTCTCTTGCATTTTACTGTGAGCAAGAAGAAAAAAAAATTGGCATCACCTAAGACACTGCCTTTGCTTAGAATCTCAGCTAGGTCATTCATATTATTAAGTATATTTCCTATTTTCCATATTACTGAAGGTGATAGTGTTGCTAAGTTTCTACTACACTACTTAACAAAGGTCCTCCTTCCTCCAGTTTCAAAAACATTTTTCCTCACTTCCCTTTGAGCCCTCATGGGAAGCATACTAACAGTCTGTTCAAGGCAATTTAGGCCTTCTCTAACATGCTCCTCAAAATCCTTCCAACCTCTACCCAATGCCAAGTTCTAAAGCTACTCCCACATTGTTAGGTATTTATTAGGGCAGCATCCCACTTTCAGCTTTCAAAATTTGTTCTAGTTACCTCTTCCATTGTTCCAAATTACCCCAAAACTTAGCAGCTGAAAGCAACATTTATTGTCTTTAAAGTCTGGATGCATCAGGAATTTGGGTGCGGCTTAACTGAGCCCTCTGCCTCAAGATCCCTCAGGGGGTTGTAATTGTGGGCTCATTTGAAGGTTCACTAGGGGAGAATCTACTTCCCAGCTCACTAGGTGTGGTTGTTGGCAGGATTCAGTTCAGATCCTGTTAGATCAAGCATGTCAAACTCACGGCCTGTGGGCCGCATGCCTCATTTATTTAAACAAGGCATGCGGCCCCTCAGCTGTGAATTTGACGTGCTTGTGTTAGATGGAGGCATCTTTGAATTCTTTGCTTGTGAGCCTCTTTCATAGGGCAGTTGACAACATGTCTAGCTGGCTTCCATCACAGCAAAAGATGGCTAGCAAGACAGAAACGAGAATCTTTTTGTAACCTAATCTTGGAATTAACATCCCGTCATTTTTGCCCTATTTTCTTTGTCAATAACAAATCATTAGGTCCAGCTTACACATGAGGGGAGGAAATTATACAAGGACTTGAGAGGCAGGGATTATTGTAAGCCATCTAAGCAGCTGTATGATCTTTGGCCACTATTTGCATGTGATGGCGAATATACATTTCCTGGATTTGAAATTAGAAAAGTGTCTAGAAACACACCAGTGAAATAATATTTACATAACACATTTAACAGTTTCTTTACAACCTTATAACCTACTGAGACTTGAAAATAATTTTATGAGCTTAACTTCATACAAACCACGTTTTGTTCCCACACAAATGTAACTGTTGTTCATATACTCCCATGAAGTATGATGGAATATGACTTTTAAGAGATTTTTGTTATCAAAGCATATCTGACTTGGCAAAATAAATTATGTGCCCTTGAAATGAAATAAATGAGTTTACTTACCCTAGATTAATTTTAAGGTAATAATATTCTCTTACTTTTAAGTGTAGTTTTTGCATTATGGTAGAAGAGGTAGTATTGCTTATACCTTAGTATAGGAAATATGAGTAGTATGGCTCCAGAGTAATTATAATACAAATATACACATGAAGAAATACCCTACTACTTTTGGTATTGGAGGAGGGGGACTGGGAAGAATAGTTGCAATATCCTATACCTGACCTGGAAAATATGTTTTCATTTAAAGATGGAAACCTTTGAAGCTTTTTTCTTTGTTAGTCATAGTTCAGTGGATTCATTATTCCTGCACCAAACCTCCTTAACTCTTAGCACAGAAACCACTTTAACATATAAGAATGGCATATTGGCCTGAAAAATAATTGTTATTTTTTTCTCATAGATTATTTTAACATTATTTGGTTCAAAACCTGACTTTGTGTAATCTGATAAATACAGTGATGTTTAGGTTGAAAATGCATAGTCAGTGTATTTAAGTAATGTTTTCTTTTTTTATTGTTAACATTATTATTGATATCCCCATTTTTCTCTCTCTGCCCTCCTCCCCTTCCCTCTGTCCAACACCAAACTGTGTTCTGTGTCTGTAGGTTATGCATGTATATTCTTTGGCTAATTCCCTCACCTTCTTTCATCTAATTAAGTAATTTTTTCATTTGTGGATTTTAGGAATATGATGTTTCTTTCATGTTTACCAGAATGTGTGGTGGTATATTTTGTAGTTATGCTAAAAAGCTTAAAATGGAGTGGAGGAAGAGTGTGTATAGATGCCTAAAACTTTTTATTTCAGAGTTGCAACTAAATCTCTGATTGTTGTGATACTGAGAAAAATTGCCAACAACAAAAACTGTTATTAAATAACATTGTGGCTATCCAGCCATGTTTTAGTATACACAGTTCCTTTCTAGATTATTCCTAATATATGAAATTGTCTTTCTTTTTCTCTCTTTTACAGGTAATATAACATTACAAAGCAAAATGGGTAACATCACAGTAGGTATGTGCTGAGATGCTAATTGGTAAATTTTGCATGCTTTTTAAAATGACTATATTTGTGGTATTTTGTTAGGGTAAATAAAGTCTACAGTTTAGCTGATGACTTGATAGGATCCTGGTGTGCAAGTTAAATATAGGCAGACCCAATGTATGAATATGTGAAATTATTTCCAGAAATTTATTGTAATTTAAATTTATAATTACAAAATTTATTATCCTATAAATGTTGTATAATTATTGTTTTGGCACCAAAAGGGTTAGAATTCTGATTTCACCGCTTCCTATACATGGGCAAATTACCTAAACTCTCTGTGCCTCAGTTTCCACATCTGAATAAGTAGAAATAATTGTAAGGACCTATTATATAGGGTTGTTGTAAGGATTAAACACGATTTGTGTGTGTGTGTGTGTGTGTGTGTGTGTGTATATATATATAGTAGTTTAACACAGTGTCTGACATGGTAAAAATCTATAATAATGAAAGCATAATATGCTAATTAGACCAGACAGCTAACAACCTTCTGGATGAAGCCGGGGCTGCGAGGGCCGAGCCCCTTGCACGAATTTCGTGCCTTGGGCCTCTAGTTTAATAAATAATAGTCATTTTTATTATTGTTATTGTCCTAACCCTAGGCCAGAACTAATAGTAGTTAATGGTACGTTAGACCAAATCACTAAATCACTGCATGTGATGCTGTGCCTGCTGAAGGAAAAAGTTCAGATGTCAAGATAGTTTATATAAAACTTTATCTATCCCAAGTAGCATCTGCTTGCCTATAAGATGAAGGCACACTCTGAGCTCTCTGAGTGGTGGTTGTTTTTTAGTCCCTAGAGCAGCGGTTCTCAACCTGTGGGTCGCGACCCCTTTGGCGGTCGAACGACCCTTTCACAGGGGTCGCCTAAGACCATCCTGCATATCAGATATTTACATTATGATTCATAATAGTAGCAACATTACAGTTATGAAGTAGCAACGAAAATAATTTTATGGTTGGGTCACATCATGAGGAACTGTATTTAAAGGGCCAGAAGGTTGAGAACCACTGCCCTAGAGGGTAGGGGGTTTGGGATGGGAAACTGGGATCTTTGTGGAGCAAAAGATACGAACTGATGGTGGTCAGTTCTTTTTTATGTGCTTATTATTCATTAGTATACCTTCCTTTGTGAAATTTTGTTTATATCTTTTGCCCCTTTATTTGTCTTTATTTTGGAGCTGTAGGAGTTCTTTATATATCATGGGAACAAATCCTTTGTCAAACATTGTTTCCCTGTATTTTCTCTCAGTCTGTGCCTTACCTGTATTTTTTTAATGGTAAGCAATCAGGGACAATGAGAAGTTAGAACTGCCTTGAGACAATAAGTTTTTTCATTTCTATAAGCAATAATTTTATAACTAAGTGTATATTACTTGGCCCTTAGGAAAAGAGCTGGTTGTAAGTTGGTAAATCTCTTTGTCTTAAATAGAATCAGATTTTATATTTGCCGGGGAGGGGGGGGGGGTTTGCAGAAAAACTCATTTCCTCTAAACAAAATGGTTTGCTCTAGATATTGGCAGACTGTGTGTGTAAAGACCACATAGTAAATGTTTTTGGCTTTCTGGCCACATAGCCTATCTGCACTATAAAACTCTTGTCATTTTAACAAAAGCAGCCATTGATAGTACACGAGTAAATGGATGTGTTCGTGTTTCAATAAAACTCTGTTAATCAAAACAAGAGGTGGCTTTAGTTTGGTTGCCCTGCTTTAGAGCCTAAAACCCATTGTTGGTATGATTCTGGAGAAATTTTGGGTTTATGTCTTAATACCAAAGGTGACAAGTGGATAATGTTTATTTGAAATTCCTTGATTGGTTGATTTGTATTTTTCTTGAAAGATTTACTTCAGAAAGTTGAAGGCAGCTTTTATAACTCATGACAACCTAATTAAAGCCTACTGAGGCTCTGGCTGGGTAGCTGAGTTGGTTGGAGTGTCATCCCATACACCAAAGGGGTTGCAGGTTTGATTCCTGGTCAGGGAACATACCTAGGTTACAGGTTCAGTCCCCGGTAGGCATGTATATGGAAGGCAACCAATCCATATTCCTCACTCTATCTCTTATCCCCTAACCCCCATCCGTCCCTCCATCCCTCCTTTCCTCTCTCTCTAAAAATAAATGAAAACATATTTTCTGGTGAGGATTAAAAAATAAAGTCTACTGAGTAACTTGTATTTTGAGGAATTGAGATGAGTGGAAGCAGAACAGTTACAAAGGAACAAAAAGTGATTTGTGGGAACCTGAGCGGGAAATATGTTAGAATAGTGGGAGCTTCAAAATATTGGAATGGGTGTTGAGAAAAGGTTATATAATATTATCCAATTGGAATATTAATAGACGAGATTAATTAGGTATTATTCTGTCTGATTTCAGGAAAATAGATTGTGTCCTCTCCAGGATTTCTTTATTAAGAAATGGTTATTTCTAGTTTAGATAATATGATTGATCAGCTTCTAAGTAATCTCATCAGTCATTTGGATTTTGTATGTGCATTCTAATCACCTCCCAAAACCCTGTTCTTCCTAATTTCCTTAACAGGGTTCTCTCAGAAGCTGAAGTACTATAAAAGATTTTATTATCAACACCCTGATTTTCCTTGAAATCATTTTTTAAAATTTATTTTAGAGAAAGAGAGAGAAACATTGATTTGTTGTTCCACTTACTTACGAATTCATTGGTTGTTTCTTGAACCTGAAACCTTGGTGTATCAGGAACCAACTGAGCTACCTGGCCAGGGCTGAACTCATAATTTTACAGATAATAACTTCCTTCTGGAACGCCAGGTCATGTTCTATTTTAAAAAGGAGAGAGCAGATCTTGTAATGGTGGGATAGGGGTATTAATAGAGTTGCTCGCCTCACTTTACTTTCTCTGTACTATGTGGCCTCTTTTGGAAGGCATTGCTGGTAATTTTATCTTTAAAAAAAGAACATCTTCATTTGGAGGGAGGGGTTGCCTTGTGTGTTTTTCATAACCCAACCTCCTCTGTGTTCCTCCCCAAATATAAAATACCTGGGCAGGACATTAATTTAGAAAACTTTACTTGAAGGGACCTTAAATTCTGCCTTTGCAAATCCTTTACTATAATATAAATGATTGCAATGAAAAGTTTAGAGTCAAATTAAGGTTTATCTATTTAGTCCTATATATAAAATTTGTTCCTTACTCTTGTAATTAGTGCAGGTTTGGAAGTATAAGAATCAAGTTGCAAAAATTAAGAAATATCTTTGGTATTGCTGTTCCTTAGTATTTACATGTTGAACTGGAGGTAGAATTATAAAAATTCAGAACTTTCTGAAGATGTTTGACCAATTTTTTGAGAATTCTCCTTTATCTGAAGGAAAATAGCAAAGTTTGGAATTTTAGCCTTTTAAAAAGCTTATTTGTTATTCTCTGCTATTAGCAAGGCACATATTACAAATATCTATTTCTTTGGCTGCATACAGTGTTAGCTGGTAGTTGGCATCAGCTTTTTCCTATTGTATGTGTAATTTTCAGGAAAATTCAGTGGTCTCTGTCAGACCAATAAGACCTTTGCCCCAAATTGTGATGATACAAAACTGTAGAGTCTACTTATTCCAACATTGTCTGGACTAACAATTTCTGTTCACTTCTTTGACCCTAAAGCTTTATTTCCCTTAAGGTTTCCTCCAAGAGCTATAGCATTTCTCTATTACATGAATCTCCAAAAATAAGAAATTCTGTGAATGAAGCCTTAATTTGACTCTTGATTGTTAATTTTTAGTTCCAATCACTTGTATTATAGAAAACAAAAAGTTAATGTATGTTTTTGCTACATAGCTTTTTCAACATGACCTTTGCTTTCTCTTTGGAAAGTATATATTGAATTAAAAAAAATTTTGATAGCCTCCAAGGGATGAGACATTATCAGAACTTAACACTGATAACATGAGAATGTAATTACTTAGTGCAGTGATGGCGAACCTATGACACGCATGTCAGAGGTGACACGCGAACTCATTTTTTTGGTTGATTTTTCTTTGTTAAATAGCATTTAAATATATAAAGTACATATCAAAAATATAAGTCTTTGTTTTACTATGGTTGCAAATATCAAAAAATTTCTATATGTGACACGGCACCAGAGTTAAGTTAGGGTTTTTCAAAATGCTGACACGCCGAGCTCAAAAGGTTCGCCATCACTGACTTAGTGGCTTAGAATATAATTATTTATCTGTTTATTTTCCATTTGCGTGGGGAGGAAGAGAGAAATGAAAAGTATTATTTCTAAACCACATAAAAATTGTGTATATTTTCCCCCTAGAGAAAGCAAGAAATCAAACTAATGTTTCAAATATCTTATTTTGCTCATCTTGGGATAATGCACACATTGTGTAGTCCACATTTTTTATCGTTATATATTTTTACTTGGCTTCTTTTAGGATGCAGTAAGGGGCTTTAAAAGGAGTTTCTGTTGGTACCTGAGGAGAAAAACACTCATCTTTATCCAGCTATCCTATGCTATTTATCTCTAGTGGCTTAATTTCCCAGTATTTTATATCTTTAGACACTTAAAAAATTAAATAAATGTTGAATCACTATATTGTACACCTGAAACTAATATAATATTGTATGCCAACTATACTTAAATTTTAAAAATTGAATAAATTGGTTCTAATGAAGGCCATTTTCTAGTATAGATTAGAAGTAAATTATTATAAATTACTTTAGAGTCAGATTTTAAACAGTTTATTCCCCAGTTGTTGTCTTTGAATCATCTAAAATTTAAAGAAAAATGTTGCTTCCTTTATGAGTATACAAATGTTTTTTTCTCCATATTTTATAAGAAGTACTCCCTCTGTCCCATAATAATAGTAGCAAGTAAATATTTAAACGGGAATTATTGGCGAATACAGCTGTAAGTTATGTTGTAGTGCAAAATTGCGAAGCCTTCAATCAAAATCAATGTTTTATGACATCTGTCATTTGTTTTGACACATCTTTCAATTTTTAGGTTAATCTAATTATTACAAATTATAACTATTTTTCTAATTTCATCCGCTGATCGAAATCAATTGTTTTATTTCAGTTGAATATCAACCCATTGTAAAAGTAAGATAAAAAAAGAGAGTTTTCAAGCAAAGATCGAGTTGCGATTGTCCAGTTCTTGATGCATCAAAAGAAAAAGGAAAAGTTGCAGGAAGGTGCAATTATGTTAGCTGCAAAACAATTTAAGTGCAACAGAATGACCACATCAAGAATTTGGAAACATGCTTCCGAAATAATTGTCAAGGAGAATCTTATGCTAATGTTGATTCTTTGAAAAAACAAAACTGTGGACGTAAATGCAAAGATTATGGAGAAAAACTTGAAAAACTTAGACATATTCCTCTTAGCAGAAGAGGCACCATATTAGCCTTTGATAATATTTCTCCCGAAATACTGGATAATATGTTTCTGTCACTTCAACAAGTTATGCTGGAAGCAATGAAGAACGATGGCTCCAATAATTTTAAGATCACGCATATAGGGAAAACAAAGCTTCGCAGCCAAAGGATCCTACCTACAAGTTTAAAATGCAGTAACAAAATTATTGAAAAATCCAGAAACTATCTGAACACTCACAATAAAAATTAGGAGTACTATTTTTAATTTATTGTTTAATGTAATCTAGTTTTTTGATAATAAATATTGCGTTCTATATTTTCTTTTGCTATTATTATGGTACAAATTACATTTATCAACTGCTACTATTATTATGGGACAGAGGGAGTATAATAGTATCATCTTTGGCATTAGTTTCATCACACTCCCTACTTACTTTGTTTCCACTTTGAAGCCATAAAAACTCCAGATAAAATATGTTTTTTAAGAGGCTTCTCTAAAAAAAAAAATGCTTTGGCTTTTCAGGGCAGTCAGAATATTCAGTTAAAGGTTCAGTTGCCATGGAGAGGAGAAAGAAGGAGAAGCTACTTAGCAGAGCGACTCTTCAACATCATGCTCTTACTTCTTTATCTCTGTCTTGAACTTGATATGTTGGCTGATTGAAAATGGAAGTCATTGATGACATAAAGAAATTTGTGTGTCAAATTAGGACCATCTTAATTATGATTTTCTTTCCCTGACTTAAGATATCTGTTCAATTCCAGAAACTTGAAAAAAAATATTTAGATATAAACGAGCTTCACTCACTCTTCAAGTGATTCCCCGCCCCCATTTCTGTCTCTCTCAGAAATGCAACAAAACCTTATATAGAGTAATCTCTCACTCTGAGCAGCACTTTCTAGTACTAGCAAATTTGATAAGGAGAAAATATGAGGTTTTAATTTTTGTTAACTTTGCCACTACTTATATGTTGACTGTACACGAGATATAATTCTTTAGTAAAGATTGAAAGTTGATAATAAACTAAATGTTTCAATGATGCTTAATGGTCTTGGCTGTCAAGGATTCATTGCGTGTGTACTGTCCTTCCTACACATTGGGTGTTACAGTAAACATGTTTAGACAGGCTGCCTTAGATGTTTAGAGATAAGTTATGCAGATTACTGTAGACAGGGATTTTTTTATTGTCTGGACGTATAATTCTAGATTTCTGTTTTTGCTTTCATTTTAAAGCAGAAGATGGCATAGTTATAAGAAATATTTATAAAACTGTGCAAGATTCTTAGCTCATTATCCTAATACTGAAGCAGAGCTTTTTATTTCAAGTTTATAATTTCAGTTATTCAAATAAGAATGATTATGCTTATAGCTTTTTTCCTTCCTCCTAGATTCGTCCTCTGGATGTCTAAAAGCCTCAACTCATCAGGGTGCCTTAGATGTTTATGTCAGCCAACTGGGGAAGGTGGAATTGAAATCCCATAAAGGTTAGCCAAAGGGAATATCTTATTTTGACATGTGGTGTAAGGAATGTTTTACATAACATTCAGGAAACAGATGGTCAGTTTATCTTATCTGTGGTACTGACACAATGATTTCAAGAACATATCTTCTGCCCTCTTCTGTGTAGTCTTCATGGCTCCCCCAACAGCCCTGCCTGGCCCTAGCCCACCTGGTTTCCTCTGATGTTTAGTGGCTTTTCCCCTCTCCTGTCTTTTCCTAAGGCAGGTTACAATGGCCTCAAGAACATATCTTCTGATAGAAACTGATTTAAAGACTGAAATACTACTCTGTAGACCAATGATCTTAGAGAAACATTGGGGAAAGATGGCCATGAAGACTGTCTTTCCCTTTGTAGTTCCAACAAAAATGTTATAATATAGTGATTCGCTATTATTATAAAAAGTTTTAGTGTTAGTGTTTTTCAATTTAGCTTTATGTCTGAAATATAATATTCTTGGAAAATGCTCTCTTTGGAAGCTTTTCTACCAGTCTGTACGTGGACCCTCTGAGGCCATCACTCTAGAATAATTCTTTTCAAAATGTGATCCTGAAATAAAGGTATCACCAGGAGGGTCTTCTAAAGTGATTATTGGCTTAGTCTTTTGAAGTATCAAGACTTCTTATGTGGCCCTGGCCTAGTAGCTCCAATAGGCCAAGGTTGTAGATTCCATCTCCAGCCAGGGCACATACAAGGATCAACCAGTGAATGCATAGATAAGTGGAATAACAAGTCGATTTCTCTCTCTCTCTCTCTCTCTCTCTCTCTCTCTCTCTCCCCCCCTCTCTTTGCCTCTCCCCCCATTCCTTTCTCTCTCTAAAATAAATAAATAAATAAAAAGCTTATTTTGTTTTTCCTTCTATAATCTTATTTCAAATAACTTATTCTAAGCGTCCAGGTCTTTCATTAAAAGTGGTACACTTTTTAGTCATCTGAAGACTGTACATGGACATGCACACATGGTACACTTTTTAGTCATCTGAAGACTGTACATGGACATGCACACATGTATGCTGGCAAGTGGCTTGGGTACTTGGAGTAACTTGGCCATAGGGACTGAAGTGGCCTGTGCAGAAAGTTATGAACCATAGCTCTGTATAAAAGTTGTTAAAAAATAAAGTCTAGAAGCTCTTGTATATTGGCCAGAACAGGGTTATATGTATAACAAGGAAAATACTTCCTTACAGAGACTGGTTGTTCCTGCTGTTGGTAATTTCTTTCCCACATTGGTTTAATACTTTTTTTTTTTTTTTGTCAACGAGGCTCACTTATCAGAGTGTCAAAATAAAACTACAATTGCAGAGGTCTGAAACTGAAGTTATTGCTGACACACAGGTGTGATTTGATTTCTCAAGATCAATTTTTTCCCCTTTAAATCATATCACGTTCTGACTAAATTTCTAAGATCTTCATTAATGCTATTCAGTGTATTTTTTGAGTGCCAAAAAAGTCATATAATTGCATTTGAAAAGGAGAAGAAAACCTACAATTACTGCATTTAATATAACTAGTAATAGAGTAAAAGCTTTTACACGAAAGTTTTTTTCTGTTGTGTATGGATGGGCAGAAAAGTAAAAACATTGTTAATCTTCATCCACTTGAAATATTTTTCAGTGTTATTTGGAATGTTGATTAGGATTGCAATTTTGTGTTTTCTCCGACTGAAACCATGTTATTGGTAGAAGCTTAAAGATAACTGGAAACAAAGATTCCTATCTTATTTTAGTTCTCTTTGATTCTCACTACATTTGGCAACAGTGACTTTTCAGAGTAACTTAATTGGGATTCTGTTGCTTAATGGTTAGTAAAGACATCTGGAATCCTTTCCAACTCTACCACTGTCTTGCTGTAGGGTTCAAGAGCCACTTGAGTCTCCTAGTTTTTCAACATTTGTCATGTGAAAAAGAATGTTATAATGCTTGTTTTCTCTCTCCCAATGAAAATCAACATGGGAACTTGTTAATTCATTCAGAAAGGCTGAGATTACGCTTGAGAGTCAGACCTGCATCTGAATACTGACTTTTATACTTAAAATTTGTCCTTGATAAAACCACTAATCTCAATATAGTATGCCTTCAATAAATGGTGCTGTTAGTATTAGTTTTAATACTAACTTTTGAATTTTTTAAAGAACGGTACTGATGTTGATAACCATGAAGCAGTTTATGAAGTGAAAAGAGATTGAAGATATAACAACTTTCCTTTTTAAAAAACTAACAAACTAACAAACAAAAACAACAGATCGTGTTAAAGAGGGGACATTTGGGAGTTTTCAAGTCATGAGAATTCTTCATTTGCAAACAGTAATGGAGTATTGGTAGTGATGGTTTTGTTTTTAAAGGGTATGTCGAGATGGGGTAATGCTGTTTGCATTGCTTAATATTTTTAAAGCTCACAGATTCACGATCTCTTTATTCATTTAAGAACAGAAAAATCATTATCACATTGATGTATTTAGAGACACAAAGTCCCCAAAAAGTTTTTAAAGTTTGTTATTTTCTTTTTAAAGTATGTTTGATAGATAAACATCTTTTCCATTCATTTGGAAATTTTTCAGGGTTGTTTTTTTCCTAAAGTTCTCATATTTGTTGTTCTGGGGAATCTCCTGTCAGTAGTTTACATTTAAACTTTGAAAAGCAATTTGTTTTTTAAATAAAATAAACCAGTTTTAGTGATGTGCTTTGTTACCCACTTTTTTGCAGGAGTATATATATTAGAGTTCATCAGTCTTACCCCAAACTTGCAGCTCTAGTTAGGAAGGCTAACAGGATATGAAATTACTTACAGAAACTTAAACTGATGTTAACCAAAGTAGGAGGCAAACAATGACCCGTAACATTCTAGAAAGAATCTTTAAAATATTCACAATGGATGTCATTCTGACTCTCTTGTTCACAGAGCTGAGGTTAATGTTTTATGGTAGCGGCCTCTTACTTTTTTGATATATGAGAAACAGAGAAAGAAAAAGTTCTGAAAGAGGACTGTGCGGATGAGTTGGCACTGCAACCCACGTCATTGTTTCAAAAATGATCCCTTAGCTAACAGGATACTTTTTCTTAGTTCTTCCTTTAGACACTTGAATTAATATAAGATTATAGTGGGAATAAAGTTGAGTGTCTTGCCCTAGGTACCCAAAGACTGTAATCCATTGAAAAGAAACAGTTAAAATTTAAATATTCTCTTTTTTTATTATTGTTATCCCCTTGGCCCCTACAAGGTATAACTGAAGGCACAAGACCTCAAGGTTCTAGTTGTGTTACAGTGGTCATTGCGGTCACAAGTTTTGTAATATGATGAGGTAGCATAGCAGTGTGTGAAATCCCACAGTGGTTAAGAGCGTGGGTTTTGTTGTCGCTGAACTGGATCTAGATTCTAACACTAGCTCTAATGGGAACTTGAGCAAGTTCTCATCTGTAAAATAAGGATTATAGTAATACTTCATAATGTTGGTATGGAGATTTAAAGAAATAATGTGATGAAGGTATAATAACATTATACCTTAGTAAATACTCAATTAATGATAAATCCTTTCTACAAGCTTCATGTGTAATAAAACACTCACTTTTCTGTGATGAGAGCTTTTGACAGAAGAAATAGTTCACACTGTTCTAGTAACTCATACTTTTGACAGAAGTTACTGTGAATGCCTTGGGAGTAAGAAAACGTTGACACCCCCTGACCTCCATGAGTAAGGAGAAGACAGTGTGCCAGGAGCAATGCTACCCATTCATTAATTTTTGTAATAGTCTCTAGTACTTTTGATTTCTTTGCATTAATAAGCTTCCTTATAAACTTATTACAGGCTCTGTTCTTGTCAAGGTCCCATCTTCTCTTCAAGTTCATTTACAGTTATCAGGAAAAGAGGTCAATGTGAGCTCTGAAGTCCAAGTTCAAGAGATGGCCGAAACTCGTAAAGATGATGGTGTAATAATTACTGGTAAGGAGGCGACATTTTACTGTGTAAGATGAATAGTCATTGTCCATGCATAAATAGAAACATGGTATGCTTAATTTCAGTTTTAGTCTTTTATTCTTTTCCATTGTCACATTTTGGTGTTTTGACACTTTTTTTCCCCCTAACTGCTTATCAGTAACATAATGCAGACATTTTGTTTGGGATACTCACCAGTTCTATCATTGGTTAAAATTGATTAAAAATTTTTATCTTGAAGAGATATTTGCATACCATATTTATAGCAGCACTATAACCAAGAGGTAGAAGCAACCCATATGTCTATTGATGAATGGATAAATGAATTGTGGTATGTACTACATACAGTGGAATTAAAAAGGAAGAAAGGCCTGTCATATGTTACAACATGAATGAACCTTGAAGACATTATGCTCAGTGAATTCAGCCAGTCATGAAAAGACAACTGTGTGATTTCACTATTTGAGTTATCTAAAGGAGTCAGATTCATAGCAACATGAAAGAAGGGGAGAGGGAAAATGGGGAGCTATACCATGGGTATAGAGTTTCAGTTTTGCAAGATGAAGAAGTTCTGGAGATCTGTTGCACAACAGTGTAAATATACTTACCACTACTGAACTGTAAACATAAAAATGGTTAAGATGATACATTTTATGTTAAGTGTTTTTACCCCAATTTAAAATTTTAAAAATCATTAAAGCATTTTTTCCTGGCACTACTGCTTTCTAATTCTTGGACTTAAAAATCAGCTAAATACATATAATGCAAGATTTAAAGTTAACTTTGTATGATTAGAATACATAGGAATTGGGTTTGGTATTATGCACTTCGAAAACTTGTTCTTTTAGTATAACAAATTCTCAGTCCTAGAAATGTGAATAGCTTTACACATTTTTCCTAATTACCTCTGGCTGTATTGATCATTGATACTACTTTTAAAGTTATTTATTGTATAGATAATACATATACATACTTAAAAAAAATTAATGCTGGTGAGGTTTTCTTTTAAATCTTACCAACATAAAAAAAAAGGAAAGTGTTTGGTGGCACTGGTTGTGGGGTGTCTTCATAAGATCAAGCTTCAGTTTTAAATATTTTTTTTTATGTTAAGAAAGATGTCTGTTAGAAGTCATAGAATATTAACAAAAGTCATAATAGTAATAAAAATAATATCCATACACTCTCAGATCTAAATCATTGCATTTAAATGGGCAACTCTTAGTTACAGGATGAAAATTTAAGTGTATTAAATGAGATAAGAATCAACTTCTTGTGATCTAATCTCGAGTTTGATAAGGAGCCAACAGAATTATCTTTTTTTGGCCCCATAATATAAAGGTAATACAAATGTGTTTAACAGTGTTCCAAATGACAGTGTAATCAATTATTTTATATATGTTAAGAATGTTTGAATTATAAATTAAAGTTAGTTTGTCATTTTTTTATTCTGTTACTCATAAATCATATGAGTAATTTAGATTTCATTTTAATTCCATTTTAAAGTCCCATTCTCATCACTTCAGCCATTAAATCATTTAAGAACACTTACTAGTTCTGTCATTGGATAAAATCGGTATTTGCAGACCTGATCTCTTTATTAACTTCTTACCCATTTCTACTCTACTAAACCAACACCTTAATATACTTAAAAACAAACAGTATCTTTTCCTAGTCTAGCTCTTCCTCCTGCTGTCTTCTGTATTTTCCTTCACTTGGTCAATCACTCAACAAGCATTTATTGAGTCAGGCACTATGCGAAACTAGGAGTGCAAAGCTGACAAAGTATGGTCTGTCTGACATCAGAGGAGCTTACATTCTAGAGAGGCAAAACAAACAAATCAGTGAATACACTAAAGTGGGAAAATGTTACAATAGAGTTATGTACGGGGTAATGTAAGAGCATGTAGGTGACACATCTAACTTAGACTAGCACTGTGAGTTTACGGAAATGAGAGAAGTCCAGTATAGCTAGAGTACAGACAGTAAGTGGAAGAGTGGCATTAAAGGAGGCTGGGGAGTTGGGAAGGAGGTGAGATCACATAGGGCTGATTTGAATTTTATGCTACGTGCATTGCCAAGGCACTGAAAGGTTTTAATCTGGGGTTCACATAGTCAGATCTGTATATTAGATCACTGAATATTGAGTGGAGAAAGCTAAGAGAAGACAATGGTGGAATGAAGAAAAAGCTAATTAGCAGCAGGTTATTGCAGTAATTCAGGAGAAAGAGTGCAGTGGCCTGGACTCCACAATGATCTGTTAAATTCAACATGTAAAATAACCTTCAACAAATTTTGGCTGAAGAAATAGATAAATGGATGCTATGAGGAAAATGCATATTTATCTCATTGGTTATCATGAAGCTTCTCAGCCTATTTAGTTCTTTTTGTGTGTTATTTGTTATTATGTCTTACACTCTAGCCCTACTTCCTAAACCAGGAAGGTTCAAATTACAGAATGAATTTTATTTCCTGTTCATAGTGCAAGATTCTAGGTACTGATCAGCAGAATTCTTTTGTATAGTAGCAAATGATATACTACGCAGTTGGGCCTCAGATGGATCTGTAGGTTGCACTGATATTAGATTAAATCCATTAGAATGATAATACAGAGGACCTCAGATAAAGAGAGAGCAGTCTTTTTTTGGAGAGAGCTTTATGAACAAGTAGAGGAACTTTCATAATTCATTTTGATTCTAAAAGTGCTTGGTGCCCAAAAGGCTACAGACCTTATTTATCAAGTAAATGGAATGTTTTAAGAGGCCTAGAAAATTAGGGCTGATTGCTTTTTCTGTAGGTATTTCAATCTGAAACCCAATTTTGGAAATAATAGGAAGCTTTACATGTGAATTATTATAGGCAGCTGAGCTTATCTCATCTGGGTCTTTCTTACGGAGCCTATGAAGCATAACAACCCTCTCTGCTAAGAGGTCTGGATTTGTATCTGTAGCATGACTTCTGCAAGAAGCCATACCATAAAGTTTATCATGAGGGCTTAGGCTTCCCACAGGCTTTGATGTTTCAGCCTGTAGTTTTATTTGATTTCCTGCTTTCTGGTTTCGCTTGCTGCTGTGTCACTGATAAATAAGATACATCGTATGATTTACAAGTATTATGTGCTATTTTGAGTCAAAAGAAAGCCTGGGACTCTCAGGCTGAAATATTTTCCAACTAAAAAGATGTGTATGTGTGCATTCTTTGGGATGCACTCTCTAATTCTTATAAATTCTTGGTTCTAACTTTCTTCTCCATCCATTTATGGCAAATTCAACTGATGGTGCATGGTTTACTGGTGGGTAAGAAATATCTAGGAAGCTGACTTCTCTGTTAGGTTTTAGACTTGCTTTCATCAACCTAGATATGAAATCTCACTGTGAAATACCAAGCCCCCAAAAATGCCTGTGGTACAGTCTTTTAAATCATTTTTTTTTCAATTACAGTTGCCATACATTATTACATTAGTTTCAGGTGTATATCCCAGTGATTAGGCATAACATAACTTAAGTGATCATCCCAATAAATCTTGCACCTGACACCATATACTATAGCATTCAAATATTATTGACTATATTCCCTATGCTGTACTTTACATTCCCATGACTATTCTGTAACAACCAATTTTTACTTCTTAAACCTTTCACCTTTTTTTGCCAATCTCATCTGGCAACCATCAAAATGTTCTCTGTATCTGTGAGTCTGTTTCTGTTTTGCTTGTTTGTTTATTTTGTTTTTAGGTTCACTTGTTGATAGATATGTATTTATTGCCATTTTATTGTTGTATTTTTTATCGTCTTCTTAAAAAAGACCCGTTAACATCTATAATAATAAAGGGTAATAAGCTAATTAGACTGGACATCTTTCAGGCGTCATTCCGGACATCATTCCTGATGAAGCCGGGGCTGGAGGGGAGCCAGCCAGGTCCCGGATGCCTGCGGGTGACCCGAGGGAAGCCAGCCTGGGTCCTGGGTGCCTGCCGGCGGCTGGAGAAAGAAGCTAGTGCCAGCAGCTGAGGGAAGGAAGGCCTACTCTTGCACAAATTTTTGTGCATCGGGCCTCTAGTTTCATATAATGCTGGTTTGGTGATGATGAACTTCTTTAGCTTTTTCTTCTCTGGGAAGCTCTTTATCTGCTTTTGGATTCTAAATGATAGCTTTGCAGGGTAGAGTAATCTTGGTTGTAGATCCTTGTTTTTCATCTCTTTGAATATTTCTTGGCAGTCCCTTCTGACCTGCAAAGTTTCTTTTGAGAAATCAGCTTACAGTCTTATGGGAGCTCCCTTATAGGTTTTCTCTTGCTGCTCTTAAGATTCTCTCTTTGTTTTAACCTTTTGCTTTTTAATTATGGTGTGTCTTGGTATAGGCCTCTTTGGGTTCATCTTGTTTGGAACTGTCTTGCTTTCTTGACTTGTATGTCTATTTCCTTCACCAAGTTTGGGAAGTTTTCAGTCATTATTTCTTCAAATAGGTTTTCAATGTTTTGCTCTATCTCTTCTCCTTCCGGCACCCCCATGTTGTGAATGTTGGTATGTTTAAAGTTGTCCCAAAGGCTCCTTACACTATCCTCACTTTTTTAATCTTTTTTTCTTTTTGCTGTTCTGAGGGGTATTTGCTTCCTTATATTCCAAATTGCTGGTTTGATTTTTGGCTTCATCTACTTTACTGTTGATTCCCTATATTACTCTTTATTCCAGTTAGTGTATTCTTCATTTCTGACTGATTCTTATTTATACTGTTGAGATTCTCAATGAACTGAGTGTCCTTATAACCAGTGTTTTGTTCTCTCCATCTAGTAGATTGCTTGTCTGCATTTTGTTTAGTTCTCTTTTCTGGAGTTTGTTCTGTTCTTTCATTTGGGCCATGCTTCTTCATTTCCTCATTTTAGCAGCCTCCCTGTGTTTGTTTCTATGTATTAGTTAGAGCTGCTATGTCTCCTAGGCTTGATAGAGTGGCCTAATGTAGTAGGTGTCTTGTGGGATCCAGTGGCACAGCCTCCCCAATCACCCAGGCTGG